ATTTTTTTAAGTAGAGACGGGGCTTCTCCATGTTGGTCAGGCTGGTCTTGAACTCCTGACCTCAGGGGATGTGCCCGCCTGGCCTGTTTTAAAAGTACTTCTAAGATAATCAACAAGCTTAACAAAAAGACAGTGTCAAAACTAGACTGTATTATATTTCACTTTACAACATATCATGGTATAAAGTCATCTGTAAACTTTCTTACCAATGGTAGGAATGGTGGTGACTATCTCCCCTAACTTCAGTTTATACAGAATGGTTGTCTTGCCAGCAGCATCCAATCCAACTAGAAGAAGACATTATAGATTTAAAATCCAGACCAAAAGCATACTCCCAACAAATAATTTTACAATAAATAAATAGTTCAAAAGTAGAAGTTAACTGTTCAAGACACAAATGAGTTAGAAATGAAATAATCTTAGTTCTCATTCCCAAAGGCAACACTTCCTACAGCAAGCCTTTCCATTCTTCTTTTTAGACCAAGAGAGACAGCATGTACTAATAAAGGAAAAGAGTATACAGCTGAGTTAGGCTCTAATCTCTAGCTTTGCAACAAACTAGTTGAGTGACTTTAGGACACTGAGGCCAAAGAAATGAGCCATAAAATAAAGGGACTGGATCAAATCATCTAAGATCTCTTGCAATTCAAGTCCTTATTAATCCTATGAACTACCACCATTTTTGGGGGGTTGCAGGAGGGACAAACTCTCGCTCTGTCACCCAGGCTGGAGTGCAGTGGCGTGATCTTCAATCACTGCAATCTCTGCCTCCCAGGTTCAAGCAATTCTCCTGCCTCAGCCTCACGAGTAGCTGGGACTACAGGTGCCCGCCACCACGCCCAGCTAATTTTTGTATTTTTAGTAGAAATGAGGTTTCACCATGTTGGTCAGGATGGTCTCAAACTCCCGGTGTCAATTGATCTACCTGCCTGGGCCTCCCAAAGTGCTGGGATTACAGGTGTGAGCCACCGTGCCCAGCTGTACTACCACCATTTTTTAAAACACAAATTATGTCAGTCATAAAAAAATTGTGAAAAAATAAAAATTAAAATTAAAAAAATTTAAAAACCACACAAATTAGAAGTTGATTCAGAGAACACATAATAAGTGAATTAAGAATTATCTTAAGATTTGTAAAAAAAATTTCTCATATATACAGAGTAAAATTTGGGTAACATTTTGATGCTAAGTGGTAAAAATACACTGGTATACCTATGTCCTAGTCACCTTATGATAATAAAGGAAGCTGAAGCCAATTTTACCGCTGCTTAAATCCTTTTCAACATTAAATGTGCCAAAATGAAAACCAAAGTCTGATTATCCTGTTATAAAAATGGCCCTCTCATATTCATCTCCAGTATAAGTAATATCTTTTAATTCTTCAGAAAGGAAATAGGTTCTGTGACAATAATATCTAAATTATTTTTCTTTTTTCTTTTTTTTTTTTTTTT